ACGGGACAAGTCCTTGAAACAGGCAGAGTGACATTCCTCTAGGGACTCAACTGCCTCGATGCTGACACTTTGCTAAGGGCAAAAAGCAATCCTAGCCCAAACCCCCCCCCCCGCCCCGCCCAGGACCCTGTAAGTCTGCTTTAACATGTAAGAATTCCTTTGGAAACTTCCTTTATCTCTACCCCCCAAGATACATGTTGGCAGCATCCCCCAAGCATATGGCCCACCGATACACATCTGAAGGGTCTCATGACTCAAGTTTTACTACATGGTAATAAATGACCTTTACCCAACAATAGCTAGCCCCCTCAAGGTGCTGGAAACCTTGCTGCCAAGTGCCTTAGAGACTTACACTGTCCCTAACCCCCTCCCAACTCAAAAGGATGTAATGGGGGGACGCCTGGGTGGCTCAGTCTTTAGGCATCTGCCTTCACTCCCTGCTCAGCAGGGAGTCTCATCTCCTTCTCCCCGTGCTGCGTTCTCTGTGCTCCTCTCTCTCTCTGTGTCAAATAAATAAAATCAAGAAAGGAAGGGAAAGAAAGACCACTCCTCATGACCCCAACGTGGCTCTTTCTGCCCACGCACGGGTCCTGTCCCTGTGCTTTAATAAAACCACCTTTTTGCACCAAAGATGTCCCAAGAATTCTTTCTTGGCCGTAGGCTTCGAACCCTACCCTAATGTCTTTGCTACATCAGATAACAACCTAAAGCCAAGTGCTGTTAAATGGAAGACACTGCTGGGTATTTGGGCAGCTTCTGGAGCTGAGCCGTATGACCTGGAGGAATCAGGGAGACTGGTCAGTCTGGTTTCTTGCCTCTTAGAGAACACCTGGTGTAAAGGAAAACACTTGCAACACTTTTTATGTCCTACAATTTAACTCAATTCTGACACTATCTGCCCAGCATGAATGCAGATCCCCCCTCCACGCTGAGGGGCCCATCCCATGAGATCGCCACCACGTCCAGCTGTCACCAGCTATAAGTCAGTGTTCTCACGACCCCATTCTCAAGCGCCATAATTTGCTAGAACGGCTCACAGGGGAAACACCTTACTTCAGTTACTGGTTCATCATCAAGGCTATGACTCGGGAACAGCAGATGGAAGACACCCACAGGACAGTTTGGGGAGTGTGAGGGTGGGGAAGGAGCATGGAGCTTCCAGGCCCTGCCTCCTGCCCGGGAGCGCCACCCTGCCCCTCCTGGCACCTCCATGTGCCCAGAGGCTCCAGAACCTCTTCATTTTGGGTTTTTAGGGAGGCCCCGTTACACAGGCGTGGTTGATGAGATCATTCATCACTGGTGATGGGCTTGGTCTCCAGCCTTCTAATCACACGTTAGGTCCCCTGGCCACCAACCCCCGAGCTCCAAGAGTCACCTGGTTGGTGTGAACCCAGGTAAGGCTGAAAGGGGCTTGTTACGAACCACAGCAGATGCTCCTCTCAGCCCCCGCACATGGAAGGATACAGAAAATGCCCAGCTCAGCCGGCAAACCAGGTGGAGGGAGGGAAAAGGTGATTCAGGCAAGGGAAGCTCTGGCCTGTGAAACAGAAAGCCTAGGGAAGGGTGGTCACGTGCAAAATGCCAGTGGGGCTGCCTGGAGGGGGCGGCCGCGGACTGCGTGGCACTTCCCCAGGGGGCCGGTCCAGCCCCGACAACCCTACGCTACTTCCCCACCCTAAGCTGCAAGACTGTCCTCGCCGGACCTTACCACATCCCGGCCCCTCCACGACAATCCCAGGTTAAAGCCTGGGTTGGGGCCACCGTCTGAGCCCCAGCCAGAGTGCCGTCGGGTACGGGGTCTCTCTCGTGAAAAACTACGCAACAAGGGAGAGGAGCTAGCCCGCTGCGGAACGCGGCCCTCAGCCTGCAGAACAGGGCCCCTCGCAGGCACGGGCCCCAAGCTGACCATCGGGAAAATACCCTTGGACACAACAAATAGAGCTCCGACTCGATTCCGGGGTCGCCGAGCCCCATCCCAACGTCCGCAAACCCTAGCTAGCGCGGGTCTTGCCGGCGTCGCAGGGCAGCCCTGAGCATCACAGGTCCGGTCCGTCCGGTCCCTGCCGGCCAGGACCGCTCCACCCGCGCCCAGCCGATACGAGCCCCGCCCAGCCACGAAGGCCCGCCCACAAGGAACGCTACCGTAGCCACGCCCCACCGGCTCCGGACGCCCGCGGTTGCCATGGTTTCCAAGGAGCGGGCGCGAATCGTCGCCCCCAGCCCTCGTCCCTTAGGCCCGCTCTGTCCGCTCTAGCGCTGGGAGCCCAGGTGACACCGCGAGATTGCCCCCGTCCCCCCTTCACGCGGACCCGGCCAGTCCCAGGGCTCCCACCCTAACCCGTCCGCCGGCTTTGGGACGCGGGGGCGGCGCGCATGCGCTATAGTACGTCTGCGCGCCGGAGGTTGCCTCACAATCCCTTAAATCTCGCGGGCTGCATGCTAAGCAATCGCGCCGCTGGTGTAGTGGTATCATGCAAGATTCCCATTCTTGCGACCCGGGTTCGATTCCCGGGCGGCGCAGCTCTTGGTTTTCATTTTCCCCATCTCAACAAACTAACTCACGCTAACGACACTGATTTCAAAAGGAAAGAAGACCACAAACAAGGAAACATCCATTCCGGAGCAACGCGGACATGGCATTTTTGGAGAATGAGAGAGTGACAAGCTCCATGAAAATGCCGGAGTGGCCACGGGCCACTGGGTACTGAGCTGACGGTTGCCTGTAAGCCAGCGACCCCAACTCAACCGACCAGTGACCCCGCCGGGGTTGCGGCTCCCGGTGCGCCTCCTGCGGCCGCCGGCCCTTTAAACTCGCAGCCGGCCTTGCGGCGCCGGACTACAACTCCTGGCGGGCCTCGCGCGCCGGACTACAACTCCCGGCCAGCCTCGCGGCGCCGGACTACAACTCCCGGCGGGCCGCGCGGCGTCGGACTGCAGCTCCTGGTGGGTCTCGCGGCTACTGACTGCGGCTACCGGCGGGCAGGCTGAGCTGCTGCGATGCTGGTGGCGGCGGCGGCCGAGCGGAACAAGGAGCCCATCCTACGCGTGCTGCGGCAGTACATGGACCCGGCCCAGCGCGGCGTCCGCGTGCTGGAGGTGGCCTCAGGCTCCGGCCAGCACACGGCCCACTTCGCGCGGGCCTTCCCCCACGCCGAGTGGCAGCCGTCCGACGTGGACCAGCGCTGCCTGGACAGGTGCGGCGGGGCGCGGGGAAGGCGGGACCCCGGCTGGCGAGAGCGGGCGGGGCGCGGGGGCAGGCGGAACAGGGCCTGTCCCGCTGTCCCGATTCCCCACGCCACCGGGGCACCCCTCTCAGCTCCCCTCAACCATATGCTGCCCTCTTACAGCATCTCGGCCACCACTCAGGCTCAGGGGCTGTCCAACGTGAAGGCCCCGCTGTACCTGGACGTGACCTGGGATTGGGAGCACTGGGGCGGGATCCTGCCCCAGTCGCTGGATCTGCTGCTGTGCATCAACATGATCCACATCAGCCCCCTGAACTGCACCGAGGTCTGTGGGCGCGTGGGCGAGCCACCCACCTGCGCCACGGGGCAGCCCTCTGGGTGCAGCGGGAGAGAGCAGGGTGGCACTGAGGCCTGAGCAGGTCAGGCTGAGTCTCTGGCCAGAGAGGCCGAGAGGCCGAGGGCTCTTTCAGGTGCCTGGGGAGAGAAAGCTCCTCACTGACATCCTGCTTCCTCACTCCCCAGGGGCTCTTCAGGGCAGCGGGACATCTGCTCAAACCCAAGGCGCTGCTGATCACCTATGGGGTGAGTGTTTCGGCCAGAGATGATGGGCCTCCCCTGGCAGGCAATCCTGATCCCAGCCAATCTCAGCTGCGTCCTACTTTCTGCACTGCCTCCTTTTGGTTGCAGTATTTTCAGTTGCCTTCTCCCTCGACTCCCCTGCACCCAGGGTCTTCCTTCTTGAACATACTCCTGGTCACCTGTCAGTTTCCCTGCAACCCCCTGGCTCACCAGCTGGTCCTCAGCTGTCCCCCGCCCTGGGGGCAGGGAGGGGTGTGTCCTTTTCATTCTCTGGGTGCTGGCGTGCAAGACTGCCTGTGTGTCCATGGAGGCATGGCTGACCCCATGTCTGTGGGTGGCGGGCAGAGCCGTGTCCCCATCTCCACAGCCTTATGCCGTCAATGGGAAGATCACTCCGCAGAGTAACGTGGATTTTGATCTGACTCTTAGATGCAGGTCAGAGCTGGATAAGTGGGGGGCCTGGCTGGGAGGGCAGGTGGGCTGGGTGGCTGCCCCCAGCCACAACTGCACCTTCTCCCCCGCCTGGCCCTCACTGCAGGAATCCTGAGTGGGGGCTGCGGGACACGGCCCTCCTGGAGGACCTGGGCCAAGCCAGCGGCCTGCTCCTCGAAAGGATGGTAGGTGGGAGGGTGGGGGGCATGGGCCGCTTCCCTGGGGGCCTGATCAGCCGCTACAGCCCACACCTTTGCCCTAGGTGGACATGCCGGCCAACAACAAGTGCCTGATATTTCGGAAAGAGTAACTGCACCTGCTCTCGCCTGTTTGTGTTTCCACCAAGACCCCCCCCCTCCCCTGGACCAAACCCAGAGGCCAGCCCCTGCCTCGCAGGGCTGGGCCATGAGGACTGGCCTTGCCCGGTCTGGGGGCTCTTGGCTGATGGCCACAGGGCTGCTTAGAACCTGGGAATAAAGTGTTGTCTGCTGCTCACTGCTGGTGTCAACCATGCCTCCTTCTGGGACCACTCCTGGTGGTGGGCGGGGGGGTCTGGCCTGTGGGGTCAGGGCTTGGGGGCCTCCTGGACCGGCTGCTCTGCTGAGGGGACAGAGGAGGGAGTGAGAATTCAGGCCCTGCTGGCTGAGCCAGCTGCTGGGCTCTCCTGCCCCAAGAGGCTTGTGCTGCTGCAGGGAAACCGCAGGTTCCCAAGGACAGAACTGGGACTGGAGCCCATGCTCCAGTGTGCTAACGGGACACCAGCTGAGGGCCCCCCAGGAGGTCCAGCACCTGTAGGCCACGAGGTCTGGGGAAGCGCTGGCTTTTATTCAGCGGGACAGGAAGGCAGGGCGGGCGGGGTTAGTCCTGGAAGCGGTTCAGCAGCTCGCAGGCCTTCTTCTCGAGCAGCTCCCAGATCTTCTTGACGCGCTTCTCACTCGCGGCGCGGACATAGCTGCCAGCATCCAGCACGGCCACGCCATCTCGCACCTCCCCCATGATAACCAGCGGGCCGTCGCCGGCTGTCACGTTGGGGCAGGGGCAGGTCCAGTCCATGCCGCTCAGTGTCACCTCCAGGTACTTGGTACCCAAGAACCTGAGGCCCATCTTGTCGTCCTTGAGCACCTCGTCCAGGGCCACGCGGGCAATGCCACCACCCCCTGGCTCGGGCTCCTCCAGCACCTCGGTGAGCCGCCCCACGATGGCGAAGTCGCTGCGACACAGGCTCAGCGCCAGCTTGCTGCGGAGGCGGCAGGCCCGGCAGGGCGGCGTGCGCGGCACAGGGCAGGCGTCCTCACAGCTCGCGCGGCTCTCAAAGTTGTTGCCGTTGCCCTCGCAGCCGCCGTACACGAAGGGGTGACACTGCTGCAGCAGCGGGCTGTAGGCCCAGCGCGGCTCCCAGCCCTGGCAGCGGCCCTGCACGGCCGGTAGCGCACAGGCGTCGCCAGGGCCCCGGGCGCAGGCCTGCTGGCACGCCTCGTAGGTCTCGAAGCCGCGGCCGCCTCCCTCACAGCTGCAGGCGGGGAAGGTCATGCAGCCTCCCCGCTGTGGGTCAAAGTGCCAGAGGACCAGGCCGGGGGCCGTGCTGCTGCAGGCCCTCAAGTCAGGCAGGCACTCGGCCGGGCCAGAGGCCGTGGGTGCCCCGGCCCCGACCGGCTCCCGCCGGACCACGGAGAGCGGGAAGTCAGCCCGCAGCAGGCCGGCGGCATTGCGTGCCGTGCAGGTGTAGAGGCCGGCGTCCTCGGGCTGGGCGTTGTAAAGCACCAGCTGCCCGATGCTGGTGACCACCACGTTGCCATACATCTGGTCTGGCCGCATGATCAGCGTCTCCCGCTGGTCGCTCTGCTTCTCCCAGGTCACGGCGGGTGGCGGGCGGCCGCTGACGTCGCAGTGGAGGCTGGCGGTGCCCCCCACGAACACCGCCTGTGGGGCGGGGCTGCTGTAGAGAGCAGGCGGCGTGGGGGCATCCCCGGGCGTGGGGCGGGCCGTGGGCTCCGGCGGCCCTGGGCTGCTGGGCGCCCAGCTGAGGACATGCTTGCAGGGCACCACGTGCAGGCGGAGGCCGCGTAGGCAGGCCTCCGCGTCCATGTAGCAGCGGTTGTAGTAGGTGAGGCCGTCCGAGGCACAAGTGAAGCTGGGCTCCTTCTCGCAGCGGTCCCGGCAGCGGCACACGGGCTGCCCGTCCCATATGTCGCAGTCGGAGCCCTGCTGAGGGCACGTGAAGCCCTCACACGAGGCCAGCAGCGTGGGCACCGCTGGGCCGCCGGGGAAGCGCGCTGCCACGCAGCTCTGTAGCCCGCACACGTTGGTACAGCACTTCTCGGCGGCCTCACAGTCCTGGGGAGTGGGGAGCAGCTCAGTGGGCACCCTAGCTCCGCCTGTCAGCTTGTTCAGAGGGAGCTGAGCCCCAGCTGCCCTTCCCGGAACATGTCTCCCCCCAGGGAAAGCCCAACACGTTTCCAGAAATTTCCTTCCCATGCTCTACTACGATCAGACCCTGTCGAGCGTGTCACGTCACCGAAGCTCACTGAATCCTCAGGTCCTCGCCCCACAGAGCCGGTTTCATCACACCCACGAGGAAACCAAGGCCCGGGGCAGGGGTCGGGGAGCCACGTACAACGTGCTCAAGGCCACTGCAGGTGGTGCAGGGTAGGGCTGCAGGGCAGATGTCCACGTGTGAACCCCCCTGCCTTTTGACCTTCCTGGTCCTGAGAACAACTGGTCCTAGAGTGGGGGTAGGCAGGTTTGGGGAGCGAGGAAGGGGCTCTTAATCTCAGACACATGAAGGCAAAGCTGGGACCCTCATACACAGAACAGCCTAAAACCCCAGCAGCCGAGTGTGGGGAGCCTGAGGAGGCAGCAGATTCCCAGGAATGGGGCCACAGTGCAGCTGCTGGGGTCCCCCTCTGTGGGCAAGGCCTGGGTGCAGGGGTAGGGCTGGGCTTCCCCAGACTCACCCAGCCTCCCCTGGGTGCCTGAGCCCCCCACATTGTCCAACTCCCAACCAGGCCCTGTGCTTACCTGGTCCCTGACGCACTCACGCTCACAGGTGCTCTGGGCATCCACCCACAGGTTGGGGCTGAGCTGGTTGGGGCACACGCCGGAGTGGCTTCTGGGTCCTGGCGGCAGGCTGGCCCCCAAGGTCAGCCCAACCACGAGGAGCAGCGGCAGGAGTGGCCTCGGGGCCAGCATGGGGACCGCCGGGCCAGGGGGTGGGGGATGTGACCACCAGTCCTTCCTCAGGCCCTGCCTAGCCTGCCCCTTAAAGCATCTACCTTTCCAGGCCCGTGGTCGCTGTCCCTGCCCTCGGGCCCCCGACTGATCCCCGGGGCTCTTCCCTGGCCCCCAAGGTCCGAGCCCACAGCAGTGCGAGGGGCTGGGTAGGTTCCGGGCCTCTCGCAGCTCTGAGTCTGTGCATGTGGCGCCGGCCCCTCCCCTGCCTGGCCCCTCTGTGGTCAGCACAGGGCGGGGGGGGGGAGGAGGGCTGGGGAGGGGCTGAGGCCCAGGAGCACAGAAGACACTGGCCACGAGGGTCAGGAGGGGCGGAAAAGGGCCGGAGAAGGGCTGGCTCTGGCGGGGGAGGGGAGGGGAAGGGAGGCTGTGATTGGAGCCCCTCCTCCCTCTAGGCACTGGGCTGGGGATGGAAGGGCCCAGGGTTCAAAGCAGCCTCTCAGACCTCCCCAGCCCAGGTCAGAGGAGGGGCCTGGGCTGGGCTGGCCAACCCCCTCTGGCTCCCCAACCCGCCCCAGCTGTCCCAGGGCCTGGATCTCCCCCACAGCAGGTCCACACCAGCCCCTTACCCAGATTCATCACCTCCATAGGCACAGGGGCTCTGTGTTCGACCCCGTAATGAGTAGGTGTTCTGCTCCTTTTGCGCGGAAAAAAATCTTACAACCTTCTCCGTGATCCTTCTCAGGGTCACGACATGCCAACAGGTCTTGGGGTCAAACTGAGACCCTTTCTGCTAGTGTGGAGACCTCTGGGGACCCGAAGCTGATGAGGGTTGGGGGAGGCCAATGTAAGCCAGGACTTTGCATTTCCGGAGCACCCCCAGCATGGCTCCGGGTCCAGGCTCTTCCACGACCAGGCAAGGCAGGTACCAAAGAAGTGAGGTCCCAGGACACTCAGCAGGGAGGGAACCATGCCGGCTGGCAGAGCCACCCGTCACTCAGGCAGCAAACACTGGAAACGGGGCTGCTGGGGCTGAGGAACTGAGTGTTTACTTGGGCTGACTTGAATTTCAGTAGCTGTAGCCCCACACAACCCGAGGCCAAGGTCATCTAAAAAGCACCCTGGAAACGGCAAATTTCCCAGGAGCTGCTCCAGTCCCTGGGAGGAGGAGCCTTCCCGGTGGGGGTGGGGTGGGGATGGATGCCCCTCCTTGGCAGGCCTGGCAGGGAGATCTAATGCAGCAACAGGACAAAGCCGCTGGACTCTGCCCTTCCAAACCCTTCCCAGGGGCCTGGGGCCCCAGGAGCATCTGCTCAGAGACCAGACGGAAAACGTCCCATGGCCCTGCGTCTGACCTTCTGACCTGGGAGGCAAGGAAATAAAAGCCTTGTCTAGTCAGAGTGAGACCAAGAGACCCCAAATGCAGAGAATGCATACAAAGGGACCATGGGTGTGGGGATTCCAGATCCAGGACAGTCCCTCAGAGAGCTGCAGCTAGAGGCCTGGGTCCCCAGAGCAATGGGTGGGGGGTGGGCTCATTCAGAGGGGTTCCCCAACCGTCAGTGCCACCAAACCCCTGGACTGAACCCCGTCAGCAGGTGGCTTTCCCAACCCAGGCCCTGGTCTGGATCCGGGAGGCTGTGCTGAGTCTCTGCAGGTGGGAAGCCCCCAAGTCATCCACTGCAACCCTGGCTCCGTGCCCACCACCTTCAGGCAGTTAGGCCCGCCTACACAGACATGGGAGGGGGCTCGGGGCGTCCCACTTTCCACCCTCGGAGGCAGCAGGGAGTAGTGGTCTCTGGGGTGCGGGGGGCTGCCTGTCTGGCCCACGGAGAAGCGCCCTGTGTGTGGCCTGGACTGAGGTGGCCGCGGCAGCCAGGCTCAGCCCTCACGGCCAGGACCAGCACCAGCCACACCTACCACCTGACCAGTTAAAACCAGAGGCTCTCAGCCTAGCAATCAGAGCTGAATCACGTTTACTGTACAAAGAAAGGAAAACCGTCCAAACTGAGCACAGGAATGGCGTGTCAGACAGCAGCAAAGGGTAGTGTTGATAAAGTGAACGTAGGACTGTCCACGTCCTCAAAACAAAGTCTGTGTGACTGGGTTCAAAGTTCAAAGAAAGGCCCCCCCCACCCCTCCCTGCAGGCAAGGCAGGACAGGTGTGGCCTCCCCTGCCTGAGCCTGCTGAGGCCAGGCCTCATCGGGGACCCCAGACACCCCACACACACAGGCCGGGGCCCCACCCTGCCTCCCAGACACGCAGCACGTAGAGTCCCAGAGCCCAGGGCAGGGCCATGAGGAGGAGGTAGAGCTGAGCACCAGTGTGACCGGTGGCCATGTCGCCAAGCAGGCAGCACGAGGAGGCAAGGCCTCCTGCTCAGGGCTGGCTGGTGGGGTCTCCAGGAGAGGCTTGGGGTCCACCGCTGGGACCAGTCCAGGCAGCGTCACTAAGAGATGCGTCAGAACGGTTTTGGTGACGTGGGACCGTGAGGGCCGACGCCAGGCAAGGAGTGGGTGTGGGGTCACACCCGAGGCTGGCAAATAGAAGCTGGTGAGGGCAGAGTCCAGGTGCCCCAGGAGACGAGGGGGCGGGTGGGTGTACACCCACTGAGTGTCTTCTGCACCTTCCCCTGAGACACAGGAATGTCTGAGAAACACCAGCAGTCCACTGGGGAACGGAGCCCTTGCCCCCCAGCCCATCCAAGCCGCGCAGGATGTTGTCTAGGAGGGCCGGTGAGAGCCCAGGAAGCTGCGGCCACACCACGCCGACCGCCGGGGGCCAGAGCCGCCGCCCAGCCATCTCGGGGCGCACACTGACCCCCGTGTTCACAAAGGCTGGTGGAGGCAGCCATGGGCCCGAGTGCACTGCCCAGAGCTTCCACGTGTCCCCCCCGCACCTGCACAGCCCACACCACCCCACATGAAGTGTGTGAATTCAAAGGTTGAAACCCTGACAGGGATTCCTCATCTTTGCCTCAAATCCCCTCCCCCTCTCCAAATGTCCCAGAGCCTGAACCCACTGCTGACGGGGGCCCACCATGCGGCTGCATCGAGGCTGCCCTGCCCGTCCTTTAAAAATGTACAAAAAGGTGAACATCTTCCGTATAAATAAGAAAGGAAGCCAGGCCTCCCGGGTCCTCAGAGACAGCCCCCCCCCTTGAGGCTGGGGCCAGGCAGAGCCGCCTCCTGGGCACTTCCCAGACGCACCGCACTGTGGGGTCCCGGGCTTGCTCCCCCGAGACCCCCACAGCTCTCTCCGGTCCCACGGAACTTGTCTGGCGGAAGACCACTGCCTGCGCCGTGCGCCCCCACGCTCCCCAGGAGGCGGTGTGGCCAAAGCCTTCCCTGCACACGGCGCCAGGCCCAGCGCCCGGCCAGAAGCGTTCCCCAAGCACGAGCCCTTCCAGAGCGCACTGGACAGGGTGGTGCCCAGCCTCCCCGCTAGGAGATCTTGCAGTTGCTCCTTGAGCAGTTCTGGGGCGGGCTCTGGGGCGGGCGGATGGACTTGGACCTCTTGAGGCTATTGCCCTTGTTGCTGCTGCCCCCTGCCCCACTGGCCAGTGAGTAGGAGCGCCCGTGCATCATGACGGCGTTCATGCCATTGGCCATCGAGAAGGACTTGAGATGGCTCTTGATGGTGACAGGCAGCGGGAGCTTGTCGATGAGGTGCACAGGGGTGCAGGAGACAATGGCCCGACAGCAGAGGTCCTGCAGGCTGAACACTGCACATGGGGGTCAGACCGCGGTGGGGGGAAGGGAGAGGTCAGACTGCAGGGATGGAGAGGGTTGCCCTGGACACCCACCACTCCGCCCCAGCTGCCAGTGTCCTGGCAGGAGACATAGGCTTCCAGCCACCCTGGGCCTTCTGGCAGCTCGGGTGGGACGGGGCTCAGGCTGAGGGACAGGGAAGCATACAGCCAGGACCTTTATGGGTCAGCTCCAGGAGGGCAGGCTTAGAAGCCGCTCCCTTTCCACTCCGGGGCAGAGTCCACAGCACTGCCTCCCAACACCGAGGTGCAGACAGGATGTCCTGCACGGTCCCCTCCTGGAACACCAGGACCCCACACAGAGCCAGCTTAGCCAGATCAGCCGCCAGGGGGTCAGGGAAGCAGTGGAGGAGAGCTGGCCTCCCCTGCAAGCTGGGACGCCGGCCCCTGAGCGGGCTGCCGGAGCCCCAGTCTGTTTCCGTTTTCTTGCCCACAGCCCGGGGCAGCCCCTTACCTCGGTTGGGCCTCCAAATCTTCTCCATGCCGTGCCTCATGAGCACGATGCGGGACAGCTCGGTGAAGGACTCGATGACATTGAAGTTGCACAGTGGGCTGACCTCAAAGAAGGTCATGCCATTCTTCTCCGCGTAGGCACGTGCCTGCTCTGTTGGAACTTGCCGCTTGAAGGCCAAGTGCAGCCGGTTCCCAACCAGGATCCGGGGGACCCCAGGTGCATGCTTGGGGGGGGGCACAGGACTTAGGAGAGGCACAAACATGGGACAACCCCCTCTCGGCACTGTCTCCCAGGCCCCAAAGTGGGCAGGGCCCTCACTGTCCATTCTGTGACCATCAAGTGCTATGGCGACACAGAGCCGGGGCCACAAGGGGGGGGCAGCAAATGGGGCCCCCCAGGCTTCCTGCTGGGGATGGGAGTGTGTACAGCTGGGAAGGGTGACCCTGAAGGGGTATCTGCGGGTGCACACCTACCTCATCGATCTCCTTGATCCACCGGTCAATGCCATCAAAGGACCAGCGGTTGGTGATGTCATATACCAGGAGGATCCCCTGCAAGGGAGACACGGGCGTCTAGAGGCCTGGGGCCGCCGGGATGGAAGGGGTCCTGTGCCAGGCACAGTGCCTGCTGCGGCCAAGCACCGCTCCCTCCCAGCACAGGTGGGGCCAGGGCACTCGGCTCCGGCCAGATGGCTTTCCAGTAGATCATGTGGGGGTCACTTAACACACGGCAATGTGGGAGATGTGTGGCTTTGAGACTCTCATGTTTCAGAGGCAGCCCTGGTACGGGCTCTGCATGCCGTCTGGCCAGCTCTGTTCTGTCTCCTCACTGAGGCCAGGCCCGTATGGCGCAGATGCCCTCTGGGTGGGGTGATGGCAACGGGGTATCTTGTGGGCTCAACGCTGCCCCCTCTCCATCTGGGGGATCTGGCTGGGACAATAGGCATTTTTTCAACTTCTTTGCTGTAAACACACTGTACGCATTAACCTGTGATCATTTAAAAATCACTCAAGTAACACAGGCAGTCTACACAGGTCTACAGGGTGCGGCAGGCCCTGTGGACAAGCCTGGCAGGCAGACAGCGGCCAGGTCCCCACACTCCGTCCAACAGTGTGCCTGCTCTGCCCGGGGCGCTCGGGGGCTGAGCGGAGGGGGCTCTGCGTTCCAACTCAAACTTGCAGAGCAGGACGCCAGTCACTCTGGCAGGCCCCTACCAGGTGGGCAGAGGATTTGCTACGGGGACTTTCCTGCCACATCCCTCGGAGACCAATTAGTCAGAGCTCAGCTCTGGGCTATGTGCCCCTGCGTGGCTCGCTCGTACCTGCCCTAGGTATCTCAGGGACCTCTCACAAGCCTCAGAAAGGGGACTCCACCAAGCGAGTGCAGCTGCGGGCCCCTGCCTCTCTCTGCCCCTATGTGCCACACTGAAGCAGGCTCGGGACCCACCCTGTCCTGCCCCAGCAAGGCTGTGTTCAGCCTGTGTCTCCGTCACACACCGCACAGTGCAGCTGAGATCAAAGAAACAGGGCACCCTCCATCTCATGATGAGCCCTGCCCCTCAAAACTGTCCTTCCAATTCTGGAAGACAAAAGAGTAGCCCCTAGGTCTTGTAAGCACAAAGATCAAAATCCCACTCTCTGGCCGGAAAGCCTCAAGCGGAGCAGTGCGGAGCCACGTGCCGACTGGGAAGGGACACTCGCTAGGGAGGAAGAGCCAGGCCTGGAGGGACAGCCTTTGGGACAGGTGGGCCCAGACCCACGTGAAGTCAAGGGCTAAGAAACCCATTTCGGGGACGCTGGAGAGTAGAACTGGACGGGACCCATGAGTAGCTGGGTATGAACCCCGCTGCCTGGGGCACAGGGAACAAAGCCTCCCGCTGGTGTGCAGGGAGGGCCATGGCACTCACGCCCCAACCTGGAAATGCCCCTTCGAGAAATAAGCGAGGATGTTCCCATGAGAACTGTGCCTAAACGGGCAGTCCCAGGACTGCAGAGTAAGTCAAGCTATGGGCACACCACACCGACGACCCACCAAGCAGCGCACGTGGGCACACAGCAGACCGTGAGTGATACCCACCCTCAACAACTCACAGAGGACAGTTTCTGCACATGGCCATGCGCCGGAAGGCCGGGCGGGGACTCACGTTCCAGCTCTGCTAGCCTGTGTGAGGCTGAAACGCTCAAGCAAGGGGGCAGAAGCTCCTCCCTTGGGCTCAGGTGTCAGCTGTACCCCTCGGCCGCTGGGGAACCCCTGGCTGTCCCTCCCAACCTGTGACAACCACCACCCGTCTGGGGCTGCCCCAGTCTGACGGGTTGGGGCTTCACAGAGGAGACACCCCACACACACCCGTCACGGGGAGGAAGGACACACAGCGGGTCACACTGTAGGCAGCAGGGACCGAAAATGATCACGCATGTGGCCGGGAAGGACACATGGCATCAAGCACAGGCGGGACAGCTGAGGAACCAAGGCCAGGTTCTTCATTACCAGAATACCCTAAGGGGTTCCAGCTGTGAGTTCCAAAGGAGGAGGCGGGACAAATAAATTTCACCATATTCTACTTCTGTCATCAATGGAAGTCCTACGTGCTCAGGCTTTTTAAATGAGTAGGTACTCCAGGATATAAACAGAATTCCTCCCCATCCCTCCAGGAATAACCGGTTCCTGTCTTATTCCTGACCCAGACAGGGTCACGGTGCACACTGCCCAGCCCCCACCCAGGACACCCTGCCCCAAAGCAGCCAGCATCTTCTGCCAGGCTCATCAGGTAGTACCGCTGTCGGCACTCAGGTCATTTCACCTAATCTTATCACCGACACCTGCGAAGAGGTCCCCCCGCCCCCCCCGCACCCAGCACTGGAAGATAAAATCCCGACAAGTGGAACTGCGGGGCCCAGGGGTTGGTGCCCTTATTCTATCAAGATTATTTCTGTTGATTTAGGAGAGCACACACATGTGCAGGGGGCGGGGAGGGGCAGAGGGAGAGAATCTCTAGCAGACTCTGCGCTGAGCGTGGAGCCCAACGCAGGGCTCGATCTCACGACCTTGAGATCATGACCTGAGCCAAGACCAAGAGTCCGAGTCCGATGCTCAACCAGCTAAGCCACCCAGGTACCCCAAGGTTATTACTTCTGAGCTACAGCTTGTCCCTCAGAAGAGGCACAGATTTTAAGTATGAACAGTTTGATGAGTTTGGACAAATGTGAACATACCTGTACCACCACCAGCCCAACCGAGGTGGTGCATTTTTCATGAATTTAAGTTTTGGCATGTGTAATGCATTTTGTTTTTTTTTAAAGATTTTATTTATTTGACAGAGAGAGCACAAGCAGAAGGAGAGAGAGGGAGAAGCAGGCTCCCTGCTGAGCAAGGAGCCCGATGTGGGACTCGATCCCAGGACTCTGGGATCATGACCCAGGCCGAAGGCAGCCGCTTAACCGACTGAGCCACCCAGGCGTCCCTGTGTAATGCATTTTGTATGGTAAAGCTCCCAAGAAACAGAACGCTGTGACTGGAAGCCGCTGCCTACACCCCCACAAGCAGCACAGAAAATGGGGAGCAGCCGTCTAATAGCTTCCAGCCCATATGCCCGCCCACCCACCTGGGCAGTGACAGGTGGCATGCTGGTACCCCCGTCAGCACTCACTTCATGGTAACTGCGAGCCCTGGACCATTTCCCACAGGAAACACCTTTTCATAGGAACTGAAGCCTCTCTCACCAGACCAGTGCCTAGCTGTGCTCCACCCAGTGCTAATCCAGCTGACCCCAAAGCCTCCATGAAACAGAACCTGCCCCCCCACCCCGCCCCCAGCTCCCTCCTTGCACTGAGCCCAGGGGACCCCAGGGGACTCCAGAGGACCCCAGCTGGCAGCGCCAGCCTCCCAGGGACAGGAGTGGCCACCTCAGACCGAGCAACAGCAAACGCTGGCCATGGAAAGAAAGTACTCACGGCAAGAGCCACAAGGCAGCAGTGTTGTGGGGCAGGTGAGAGTAGCCAGGGCTTGGCCAGGGGCTTCTGTGACCTGGGCCCTAAGGGACCTGCAAGGCCTCTCTCTGGTCTTAAGTGAGGGTAGGAGAGTGACAGGAAATACAGAACTCAAGTAGAGGCCCCACGACTCTGGGTGCCGTCCATTGCAAACCCAAGTGGGTGCCCCCCTGCACACCCCCTGGACCTGTTCACTGCCACTGCCTGATGGGATGGGAGCACTACAGGCACCCACTGCCACCCACCCAGGCCTGAGACCTACCACGGGCTCCTCCGGCCCCAGAACGACAAGAACCCCCAGAACCAGCAAAGCAAATGCAACAGCCAACACACAGCTGGCTAGGCTGGATGCTCTGGAGAGAACAGACGTGGGAACACGACTTGCTTTCCCAAAACGTGTCATCTGGCAAACATGCAGGCTGGTTCCCGGCTTTCTCTTGTGGTCCTAAGTGGCTGTTCACAAGCGCATGTCTGTGGTCTGCCCCATGCTGACACTCAGAGCAGGCAGGCAGCTGAGGCCAGGGGCCCATAATCATCATACCCGAGGGAGTGAGCCCCAGCTCTTCATTTTCCTCTTGATTACAAAAGTAATGTGTTTATCATAGCACAGCTGGAAATATTCAAACCAAAAGGAGCACAAGAGAGCTCACCAGTAACCGCAGGGTGCGTGACAGTGAACACGGCTGTTCACAACGTCTCATCTTGTGTGTGTAAAATCACACACGCAGTCCCTTCCTTAAATAAGAGGGGCTGTGGACCGTGCTTCTGTGTGCCTGAGCTCTCCCCACGCTCACCTGAAGGGCGCTGGGTGCTGCAGGCAGTTCCTGCTGCTTAATCCACCCCTGGTGGGGACAGGGGTGCTGACAAATGCCCCAAAGCGGCACCCCACACCCTGAGGTCCTTCTGCGTTTCGTCACGGAGGATCAGCTGCTCCTGGTGGAACCCCGGTTACGGCAGCTCTGCAGGGCGCCGCCGACACCGGTGACGTCTCCAAGCCAGTGGCTGCAGGAGCAGGGCTCACTCCTCTGTGCCGGCTCCCAGGACAGGAGCTCCTGGCCAACATCAGCAGAGCGCAGACGAAGGCCCCATTCAGGGTCTTCCTCCCTCCCCGCACGCTGGACAGGCTCCCATTCAGGAAGGCCCTGGAGGAAGGACTGGGTTGGGTGTTCCTGTCAACACCTCCTTGGACTCAGTCTGACTCCGTCACGGACAAAATTTCCCTCTGGCTTCCCAGGTCCCATAGAGCAGAAAGAGTAGCACAGGGGGCGGGGGGGGGGGTTGTGTGCTGGGCATTAACCACTGCTCACAAAGCTAAACAGATGCCCGTGGGGCTCCCCCCAAGCCCCAGAGTGTGTGCGGGGTGACATGCAGCCCCCCTGGAGCCCACACCCCACACAGCCAGGGGCCCCTGCCTGCAGCGCACAGCAGATCTGACTTCAGGGGTCTCCTCAGCAATTCCAGAAGCCTGGGGGTCACGGCCTGCCCTGCAGCACAGACAAGACTGGTCCTGTACCCAGACCACTCACTCTGACCCGGCAGTGAGAGTCTAGAGCAGATCTGGGCACGCAGCTACTTTCCCTTCTCCTTCTAGCGTCGAACCACATACAGATCCAGTCGGCACACAAGCATGTTGGGGGGAACCCAGAGGACGCAGACAGAAACGAGCAGGTGCCCACATCCCTGCACACCGCTCCACCCCGCTGAGGACCCATGGCAGCCCCTTCCATTGTGGCTCCAAGGCTCAGGCTCTGCTATCCTCGTCAGTGATCCAGGCCAGCCCACTCTGGAGCCCCCAGCCCTGAGTCGGGCTTGCCTCCCCAGGCAGCCCCCTCCATCAGCACATCCAAGTCCAGGGAGGTCACCTCTTCTTCCCGGCGAACTGGATGACTGAGTGGCATCTCCAAGTGTCTCAGCACACCTCCTGTGGCACCTCCACCAGCAGGAGCCATGAGAGCCGATGGGCACAGAGGGTACCCGAGGTTAGACCCCCAGTGGAAGCCTGGTGTTCAGACGTTAAACTTGGCTTAGAAAGAATCACGCATGTGGGGTCTGACAGCACAGCAGCGGGAGGGGGTCATCCTGGAGAACGGCACCGGCACGGTCGCTGGGCTTACCTGCGCACCCCTGGAGTAGGACCTGAAGATGGTGCAGAACCTGCCTTGGCCCGAGGTGTCCCTGAAACACAGGGGGGTTGGGGGATGCAGCCCATGGGACCCCAGCGTGCACAGTGCCATCCCTATGAGGTGCTGGCCCCTGCCCCCTCCCGCTCCACAGCTCACCCTGGCGGACCTCCATGGGCCTGTGTGCCTTGGAACCTTGCCCTACTGGGCTGGAGAACCCCACCCCTGTGAGAATTCACGCCTCCTGCTGAGGTTCTGGAAAACGCTCCTTCATGTGTAGCCCAGGGAAGAACAAGGGCAGAGGGGCCATGGTCACGGTGGAAATGAGTGTTTCTGGGCCAAAGGGAGCTGGGCTCTATCATATCAAACAGCCCAGACTTCTGGTTTCTGCATCAGAGTCCGTTCCACAGGGACACAGAGTCTGTGCAAATGGCTGTTCCAGGGAGGGTCAAGAGGATGCCGTCCCATCTCTGAGGACTCCTGACTCACTTGAGGCATCGCACAGTGACACTGAAGTGCTGCAGTCCCTGCCCCGGACACCTCGCCCTGCAGGGCCTGACTCACCAGAGTTCCAGCTTGACCCGCCGTCCATCCAGCAGGATGGTGGTCGTCTTATAGTCGATTCCTGAAAGGAAGCAGAGGGTAGCTGCAGGTGACACGTGGGGACAGGCCCACCAGGACCCACCATGCCAGGGCCAAGGGCCGTGCCACCCCCACCTGGAGGCTTCCCGTAGCTCCAGCCCAGCAACCCGAGTGGGCCACCCCAGTGTCGCCCCGAGAGCGCATGCTGGGTGCTGACAGCCGCAGGGCGGAGGGAGGAGGCTCGTCTCCGTGCTGACCTGCTTCGTCTGGGTCCTGACATCGACCTCCCAGAGGCTAAGGGTGTCTGTGTTCTTGGTTCACCGTAGCCCCCGGGGTACTGACGACTGGAGCGTGCTGGGAGCATGATGAAGGGGCAAGTAATCTCTAAAATGCCATCTCTCTGCAGAGTTCCCTGCAAAACCCACGCCTGCCCTAGCTTCAGTTTTTGTTTTTACTCTTTTATGGGACAAAGTCAGTCCACAAGAAGTTGGTAAGAGCATGGATACTTAGCTTACATGGAACATCTTCAAGTGGTCTGTGGGCCATCCAGAAACTTCCCACAAGCTATGTCTTCCCTCCTCCATTCCTAAACCTTAAAAATCTCATCAGTTTCTTGACTTTATAACACTTGCTCCAAGAGGGCTTGAAAATGGGCTTTTCTTTAAGGTTTATTTTTTATTTTTATTTATTTAATTGAGAGAGCAAGAGAGCGTCAGCGGGGGAAGGGACAGAGACAGGGAGACAGAATCTGAGACTCTGCACTGAGCGCAGAGCCTGACACAGGGCTCAATCTCACGACCCTGAGATCACCACCTGAGCCGAAACCAAGAGTCGGATGCTTAACCGACTGAACCAGCCAGGCGCCCCATTTTTTTAAAGCAAACTCTAGACCCAATGTGGGGCTTGAACCCACAGTCCCAAGATCAAGAATCACATGCTCCACCAACTAAACCACACAGGCGCCCTGTTTTTTTTTATTTATTTTTAATTTATTTATTTTAATTTATTTATTTGAGAGAGAGAGAGAGCGCAAGAGCAAAAGCACAAGCAGGGGGAGTGGAAGAGGCAGAGGGAGAAGCAGACTCCCCACTGAGCTAGGAGCCCAATGCGGGACTTGATCCCAGGACCCTGGGATGGTGACCTGAGCTGAAGGCAGACGTGTAACTGAATGAGCCACCAGGCGTCCCAATGGTCTTTTTTTTAAAAGATTTTATTTATTTATTTGAGACAGAGAGAGAGAGAGAAAGCTAGGACAAGCAGGGGGAGAAGCAGGCTTCCCGCGGAGCAGGGAGCCTGATGTGGGGCTCGATCCCAGGACCCCGGGAACATGACCTGAGCTGAAGGCAGACGCTTCACCGACTGAGCCACCCAGGTGTCCCAAAAATGGGCATTTTTAATGCAGGTGTTGTTCACACACGCATCATGTGCACACGGCACACCCCCAACCCTGGCACTGGGGCCTCTACCCTCACTGTCCTTCGGCCCGGCCAACTCCCAGCTGTGCATGAAAACCTGGCTCCGTGCATCAAAGGACATTAACATAATGAAAACGTCCTGTTTTCCTCACCGACAAAACAGGAGAAAACATTTGCAAATCACATATCTGATGAGACTGGTATCCACAATATAGAAAGAAATGCTACAACTCAATACCAAAACAACCCAATTAAAAATGGGCAAAAGACTTGAACAGACATTTCTCCAAAGAGGATACACAAATGAGCAATACGTACATGGAGAGGTGTTCAACCCCACTTAGCATCAGGGAAATGCAAATCAAACCACAATGAGATGTCAACTCACACCATTTAGATGGTTATTGGAGAAAAAAACAAAGAAAATCACAGGTGCTGGTGAGGGGTGAAGAAGCTGGAGCCCTCGAGCACTGCGGTGCAGGTGGGGAAGGGTGCAGCCGCCACGTGGAAAGCAGCCTGGTGGCTCCTCAAAAACTCAAACACAGAATTACTATCTGATGCAGAAATTCCACTTCCGGCTTACAACCAAAAGAACTGAAAGCAAGGAATCAACTACGGATGTATTTCCACACCCACGCTCACAGCCACACTGTCCACAGCCGCCAAAAGGTGGAAGCAGCTCATGTGTCCATCGGCAGATGAAGGGAAAAGTGTGGTCTGTCCGTGCAGTGGACCAGTGTTCAGCCCTAACGGGGAGGACAGGCCAACATGTGCTCCCACAGGGGTGGGCCCGGAGGACATCGCGCTTGGGGAGATAAGCCTGTGGCAGGAGGACAAATATAGCGGGATTCTGCTTCTCGAGGCCCCTCGAGCCGTCAGATCCCTGGAGACAGAGGTGGATGGAGGTCACCAGGGGCGGGGGCAGGTGGGGAGTCAGTGATTCATGGGGACAGAGCTTCAGTTTGGGAAGATGGAAAAGCTCTGTGGACGGACAGTGGTCATGGTCCCACAACAACGGGAATGAGCTGTGTGCCTAAAGACGGTGAAGGGGGCAAACTTCCTGTTACGTGTATTTTACCACAATTAAAAGAAAAAAAGAAAAGGGAGAGAAGACTCTCTTGCACGTATTCTCAAGCGAAAGAAACACTCCACAAGAAGAAGCAAACTCAGGCCTGTCCCCACCCGCCCTCCCCCCAGCCAGTTCTCTCATCTCTATGCTTCTGTTCCACGTTCCCCGACTGGCATCCACTCAAGTATCCTCGGTCCTAGGTGGGAGCTCCTGTAATTCTGTCAAACAGGAAGCACAGATCTGGCCCAGGACTTGCCTCTTTTTGGTCCTGGATCTACCACTCCTGTGAGACAGAAACGGCGGTAACCAGAAAGGCTGTGGATGTGGACGCCCATGCTGTGGGCAACATCACCTCCAGGTGGCGGGTCAGCCCAGCAGGCTGGGGGCTAGGGAACGGGACACTCCCCAGCACCTCTCCGAGGCTCCCCGCGAAAGGGTGCTGCCCAGTCACCCCGAGGTGACTCCCAAGGCCCAGCTGGGAGTGGCAGGGAGGAGGGCGTGCCCAGCAAAGGCCCAGGAGACAAGGTGCGGTGTGGCGAATGCGGAGTGCAGCTGGGCGCCTCAAGGCTCTATCTGCCCACGTTCCACCGCACTCATCACCATCCCGACGGCGCCGTGACTTTGGGGTGCAGGCTCTGCTCTCCAGCAGCGGCACTAAACGCCCGGCCAAGCACACTGCAGGCCGATGAGCATGCAGAGCCAGGAGCTATCCCAAGGAAGGGTCTGCTCCGCTTCCAACCTGTCCTGAGGCACAGCCCGCCCGGCTGGGTCCAAGGGCTTCCCAGAGCACAGGGCTCTCAGGGAAGGCTGCAGAGGAGAGCTCGGAGGCAGCAGGGAGCCATGCCCGCCCCTCCCACCTTGCCAGGAGCCCCCACAGCCCCCAGAGAAAGCTGAGCAGCCCGTGTGAGGGGACTGAGGGAAGTGGACAGCGGGACCCAGCTGCGGACGGCCTGGCTGCCAGCCAAGAGCTCCTCACAGGGCGGAGAGCCCCAGGCTGACAGGTTCACATGGGCACCAAAATTTCAAATATATCCTTCATTCCTACCCTGCCCCTCATGCCCACCTCCCAAATCTGGACAAAAACATACAGTATACTTCATAAAGTCTTAGAAGATACAGACCCACAAGTCCACAGAGAGAGACCTGCCTGTAGGAAAGCAGACTCTCCATGCCATCACCAAGGATAGTGTCAACTAAATGTCACTGCTCAGGCAGCTCCGACAAGACCTGGGTCTCCAGATCTGATGCTGGAGGACTGCAGTCACACTCCCTCTGCCTCACCCCAGCAGTCCATGAACACTGAGCCCCTCTTTGAAAAACTGTTCAAAACACGAAATCTTGGACAGCCCGGGCATGACCATCAGAATCAGCTGGTGGGGGCTCGGATAACTGCCTGGGTGCACATGGGGGTGACCAGGCCTCCTGAGGTGACGGGAGCAGCTCACATGCAGGGTGGGGGGTCATACTGGGTGGCCAAGTCTCGGGCCCCAGAACTGGGAACACTCTCTGGACAGACACAGGGCACTGGGAGGTCAGCGGGGGCCAGCAGCAGCTGACCAGTGCCCAGGGAGACAAGTGCTGTTCTGGTTCCCGACCCTTCCCACGTGAGAGCTCTTGAAGCATGTTATTTGCCCAGTGTTCTGGGGGGTCTTTCCCGTGTCAGTGCAGCCCAGGGCCCATTCAGTGACTCCAGCAATCCCTCCACCCGCTCAGCTGATGTGTCCCACTCCTGGCTAACAGCCAGTTCTCTCATCTCTGTGCTTCTGTTCCATGTTCCGGGAGCTGTCCTCAACTTTACTGTTCTCCTATGACCCTTTAAAAAATTCTGCTGCTCTTTCTAACCTCATTTCTCAATGCTCTTTCTGGCCCTCTGAACGCTCTTTTCGAATAACATTCTGTTCCTAGTTCTTGGACGCAGTATCTCTTTGTATCTCAGGCAACACTAATTATCAGATTGTTAAGGTTCTCAGATGTCTTTCCTCACACTGTGTGGTGCTTGGCTGTCCACCAGCCCTCGGAGAGCCCAAGAAGCTGCAGAAAGTCCAGGTGACTCTGCTCAAGTGGGGCTCACGATGGAGCTGTCAGGCACCTCGGGATGTATGGAGGTCCCTTGTCTTGGACTGGGGGCTGTTCCTGCAAAGAACTAGCTGCTGCCTCTGGGCAGCACGGGACGCTACCTGAGCACCAGCAGCAGGGGCGGTCGGGGCCCTCCGCCACACCCGCTTGTCCCAGGGAGCAGACCTCCCGTGTCCCCGCTAGGCCCCCGCCCTGCCTTCAGTCCCAGAGGGCCCGGGGCCATGGGGTCCTGCCGGCGCCTCACAGCCAGGCTTCAGGCCTCTGCACTTTGTCCTGCGGTACCTGCGTCCCACACACTCAGCCTCTCTCACCTGACAGGGCCACAAGTTCCCAAGAATGTCCTTTCTACTGTGTTACAGGGTTTCTCAAGGGAGTGGCAATTCACTCGACACAAATTGCTGTTTACGTTCCTACTATATACCAGGCGCGGTTTTGGGAACGACAGGGGCTCGCGTCGTGGCTGTCCCACGCCTGCACCCGGAC